GTAACTTGTTAACGAAACTCCCTTTTAATTTGGTGGAATGAACCTTTCCCTCTTGCCAGGTTGGAGAGGAGCACGTGTGTCCCTGTGGGCTGCACCCTGATAACTGCAGCTCCACAAATATTGACATTTTTTACTGGGAGGTTGCCTGCCTGATTTTTTCTGTCCCCAAAATGTGCTGAGATGCTCAGCTCACAGAGCCCTCAGCAGAGCCGCACTGTGAATTACTTTTGGATTGCAGCACATTTCCTACAATGCCCAAGGTTATTTTTTATTCTTTCTATTACTATGCTCAGAGAAACAAAGCAAATAAAAAGAAAAACATTACCAGCACTCAAGATGTTCCATAATAACATTCCCAAATCTCTTGTGGAAGGTATAAATTAACCCCTCTCTGTATTTGCTTTTAATATGCCAAAGCAATAACGTGTGATTCTCCTGTCTCTGTGATGAGAGGGAGCAGGGAACAAGAATAAAGTCTTCCAAGTGTGGCACATGCAGGATGTGGAGAATGCAGATCCAACAGGCTGGGAATGAGCAAAAGCCCTTTAGTCATGGGGAGAGTTTAAAAATGGAAATGCCTTTAAGTGGCCCTCAGAATTAAAAGCGTCCCATGCCACTTCCCAGGGAGTTGGAATAATAATGTACATTATTATGGGCTGCCTGTAGCTTCTGCTGAGGGGAGTTCAAAGTTACCTTTCAATCACAGGTCTGATTTCGCTCTCGACAACCAAATTCCTGTGAAGAAAAGCTAATCTTCCTGAAACTCATCTGCCACGTTTCACCTCTGCTTAAAGCTTCTTAGGGGTGTTTGATTGAAGTGGGAAGAGAAGCCTGAAGTGTTTAACTTCACCCTTTTTCTGCTGCTTTTCCATTTTTAACCTGATCTGTCAGTTGCAAATATGTGATACTTTGGTGGCTTTATGGGCCAAATGCTGTGCAGGGTGTGCCTGACTCTACATCCTATGTGGGGAGGCAGGTGTAAACCTAGAATAGGGAGGGTTATGCATATAAAAATAGGGAAAAAAATTACTTGTGCCCACTTTGATGGTGGAACTACGGAAAGGAGTCAGTGGGAGATGGAGTAAAAACACCCTGTGAGAGGAAGGGGAAAGGAAGAGTCAGTGCTGATGAACTCCTGTGTAACAGGGAGAGAAAAAAGGGTGCTGCAGGAAAGGGGTGCCAGGATCCTGGGTTATCCAAAAGCTTTTCAAGATGAATGGGTAACGGGAAAACATCTATCCCATTGGCAAATAAATCCAATTCACTGACTGCTCAACCAAGCCCGTGGGTGTTGCTGCTTCTCCTCAAAGCCCCACACACTCATTTTTGCTGTAGGCGCCTTTTGTGCTGTCACTTGCCGGCTTAATAAAAAGCTCTCCGGTTTAAGGAGGTGTTTTTTAGGAGAAATGACTCTCTCGCTGTTGTTGGTGGAGGCAATAATATTTAGGGCTGTATTTATTAGCTTATCTTGGCTGTTAAATGTTTATGGCTGTTGTTTATGGCCTGTGGAGCAGGGGAGGGAAGGAAAGGAGCCATCAAACAGATAGTGGGAGACCTTGTGGCTACTCAAGAGGTGATAAATAGAACAGTTTGTAAAAGCATTAAACATGTCAGGCGCTTCCCGCGAGACCGAATGAAGGGCAGGGTCAGAGAACCCGCTCGGTTTTGAGTCTGACATTTGGATGTGGAAAATCTCCCTGAAAACTTCAGCACCAATGGAGCTCTCTCTAACTTTGCCTATGAGAAACCCTTTTTTTTTTTTTTAATTTTTCTGCCTCTGAAAGCTTTAACGTTTTGGGGACTTGGTTACAAATGGGTTGCCTTTAATTCTGAGTTTTCACAGGTTACATTTGGAAGCAGAGAGGGATTTGCTGTGTTCATCCCATCCATTTGCTCTCTCCACCTCCTGTTCTGTGTTTGGTCATGATGGCAGATGATGGGAGCCTGGGAAAATAGCACAGCTTCCACACCAAATTCCCTTTCCAAAAAAAAAAAAAGCAGGCTGGTTCTACTGCTCGTTTCTCTGTGGAGTGTGGCAAAGCCAGAAATGCCTGGAGAGTTGATGGGAAGAGGTTTAAAAGAAAACCAATGTGGTGAAATGAACAGTGAGGGAGGGAGATTGTGAGAACATATTCTGTGAGAAGAAAAAGTTATTCTAAAGCACAATTAAGCTAAGCAAATAATGAGCGGTAGAATTTTGAAAAGGCTGAAAATAACTGAAATGTTGAACTCCTTTGAAATGCCATAAGCTTTCTTTTTTCATCTTATATAACCCAATGAAGCAAATGTTAAAAAGATATCTCAAAGCACTGCAAAAAGTTGTAAAGAATTGAGAAGGTTTAGGAAGAGAAAAAAAAAAAATCACATGATGCTGTTCAACGCGGTTTTAAACAGAAAATAAATTTTTACAAGTTTCAAGCTGACTTTGCTGCTGGAGCTGTGGGATGCTGCACACCTGCAGAAAACCTAAATATTTTGTTCATAATGCTGATCAGAACCAGAGAATTTTCTAGCATGTTTACATAGCTGGGTGGTGTTACTTTCCCATTAAGGACATGGTGATTTTCTTTTAAGATGCTCTTTGATATTGCACTCCTGTCTTGAAGATACATCATGAGCAGCAATGGACTTTTTGGAGTATTAATGTGTTTTCTTGGCTTAAGATTACCTACACTTAATATAAATACTTATGCTGTTACAAGAATCATAGTGTTGGGACAAGTTTTATTTTGCTATCAAAATTAGATTGGGCACAAAACCAGTTTTGTAAAGCTTTTTTACATTTTGGTTGGTTTTAGCTTTAGGTGTAATTTTTCCCTCTTCCCTTATTTCTAGTGAGTGTGGTGGTTTTGCTGCTCTCTTTTCACTGCTGCTGTGCAAGTGCTGATGCTACAGCTTTTGGGAGGTCTGTCCTAATTAAGATTTAGTGACTAACTGGGTTTTGATGTTTGTCAAACCACATAGTAAATAACATCAAAGATGATTATAACTTAACTCTGATTGAACAGTCAGCTTTGGTCTGGCAAGGGAGATAAGAAACTTTAAACTGAGATTTTTCTTACTTGTATCAAATAGTAAAGCAAAAGTCCAAGAAGATAATATTTAATTTTCTGCCCCAAACTGTATTTGTATTTCTCATTTGTACATACATCTGAAGCTCCTTGTTATTGCTCTTAGCCTCCACATGAAGGAAACCCTTCAGAGGGGAGCTGGATTGATACCTTTGAAAGAGTTTGGCTATTTGGGTTTATTTCAAGGCCAGTCTGTTTGCTGAGCCTTCGCTACTAACTTCAATGAGCTTTGCTTTGAAGTGTTTATGCAAAGAGTAAGCACCCCAGACTGCAGACTTGAGCAGCCTGCTGCCTTAGCTGGATTCTGGAAAGGTCTGCCTGGGATTCTTGTAACCCTCATTAAAACTCCAAGGAAGTTGGTTTGATTTCTGTCTGTCTTGGTGGAATTTATCCCTCCTCTGCCTACCACTAAATCATCTCTGCCAGACATGACTCATCTTTAGGATTCATAAATTAGACAGTGAAAATATCTCTCTGAGCCACAGAGTATTTAGTAGAAGCCATTTAAAAAAAAATTCCATCAGAAGATCCCCTTGACAATCTCTCTGCAAACTTTATTTCAATGCAGTGTCCCTTGGGCACTTTCTAATTTAACCATCTGTGTGATATTGCTTCATGGAAGCACAAACATTTTTGGTATTTGAGCTTAATAGGTATTTGTTATATATTTGCTGAAATTGCTAACCATGATCTGAGGAAGGGATGGACTTTGTATATATCTTTTGAAAGACTGTTTAATCAAAAGTTGATCATGGCAGTTTTTTCAAATGCCACCAGCAATATCCAGGGCACTCTCAAGTTATTGGGACACAGACTGGCTGAGGAATTTGGGCCGTTCTAAGCATTGCTTGTGGGGTTAGGAGTTGTACATGCTCTGCTGCACTGCCCAAATCTGAGGAAATCTTCACCTCAGTGAGAAAAGCACAGGTATTCATCCAAGTATGATAAAGCCCAGTGTGAATTCCAAGCTACAGTTCAGGAAAGCATGGGAGGAAAAGCCAGCCTGAGAGAAGTGCAGGTAGTGGGGAGGCAGGATAAAGAAGAAGGATCTGTTTTATTCTCAAGTGAGGTGTCATGTGTATGGTATAGAAAAATTCCTGATAGAAAAGTTCCATTTCTCTAAGACCACTGAATCCCACTCGGACACCACCTTACTTACCCAGCCAAATGTTCACTCACCAGCATCTAACTGTATAGCACCAAAAATCTATTTTTAGGTGTCTAAATAAAAGTGACCTGGATTTGAGTCAGCTCTACCTGAAGTTGCTTTGGCTCTGCAGAGGAGTCAATGAGTGCTGGAGTTGAAACTCACTGAAAATGAGGCCACCTGGAAAGACAGGGACATTCATCTTGGGCCTGGTGCAGCCTGTTCGGGTGCAATGGGAAGGAGGGAGGACAATGTCAAGAAAAAATAATCAATACATGGAGGGGGTTTGGCTCTTTTGCTTGCTCCATGCACCTCTAGGCTCCTGTCTTAAATGGTACCAGGTATTTTTTTAGCAGCTCAAAACCTGTTTTTAGGAGCTGGTGATGGAGGAATGGTATCAGGCCTGAGCCCTGGGGTTTCCATTGAGCTATATGAGGAGTGCCTGAGGAGCTAAGCTCATGAAAAAAAGAAAAAAAATGAACAAGATCAGTTTTTTCTACCCTCACAGGTTGGTTTCAGCTTCACACACGTCTCTCAGGGGGACCTGGCTTCAGGCTGGGAAACAATAAGGAGCTGGAATTAATGCATTTCCCAGGGAATTGTTGCAGGTACAGTTGTAGCTGGAAATTGGCAGAAGACACTTTTCTCCTTTGTTCCTAAACTGCTTGTTATGTCTGAGCAAGTGGTCCTGGTTTTGATTTCCCAACGTGATCTCCTTCCCTTTCCCCCTCCCTCCTCCCTGCCAGTCAGCACATCCAAAACCAGCACAAGAAGGTACCTACGGGGTTCAGGAGAACGGTGAGGAACAGTTCCCCTCCTCGGATACTTTTGTCCAGCTCCTGAGGACCACCAGGATATTCCTTGTAAAAAATAGTGTGAGTGAAAAGGCCACAGGTCTGTCGAGGGAGCACCTGGGAACAGAGGAACAGCAGCTTATTCAGGTATTGCAGTGCCATAATCGACCTGGGGAAGGACTTTGGTTTCCCTTAATTCAATATTTTATATAGCTTTACTCAGTTAAAACAACAACCAAAACCTGCATTTGTAGAGCATTTGGTACACGTGTAAAAATACTGCTGATCTGGAGTCTGTTCCAGCAGAAATTGGACTCTGCAGGAATTTGCTTTTGAGCCACTCCCTCTGCCTTGTTTAGGGGATTGCAAATTGCACTCGGTATGCACAGGGAATATTCAGAGCAGCTTTTGGGACTTGAAACCATCCCTTGGAATATTTGTCAGTTCACTTTAGAACACCCAGCTTGGTAGGACAGGCCAAAGGGCTTGCTAAGTTGTCCTGTCCTCTGTGCACTTTTAAGTGGATGGGAAGAGACTTCTCTGCCCTGGGTGAGGGGTGTAAGAGTCAGGCAGGTGTCCCGGTCCTGCCTCTGGGAATTTCAGGAGCAGAGCTGAAACTTCAGCTTTGCACAAGTGCTGGAGGAGATTACTTACACCTGTTCACCTTCCCAGGTGATGGGTTTCTAATCCTTTCATGCATAGGGATGAGGCAGAGCTGGGAACAGAGGGCTTAGGCCATTTAGTGATTTCACAGAGTGCAGCCACAACTCGGCTGGTAGTGATGGGGCCACGAGCACATTCAGTTTCTGAGGAATATTCTACAGCTACCTGAGTCTGTGTGACTTTTGTCCCCCTCTTTTAAACTGCCTAACAAATGCACTCTTTGGGCATCCTTACAGCTGCTGGGTCCTGGGGAATTTTAAGGAATGCTAAGGATGCTGGCAGAGGCGAGGCCTCAGCAAGAGCAGCCCCCTCTGGAGTCCCCGCAGTAGTATCGCTATGAACATGGAAATGCAGTGTACCATGATGCCATTGTGGATGAAGCCCCGTCTGTACCGTGCGGGTTTCAGGTGCGGGTACTCCTCTGTGCTGGTCACACGGATGTGCCACACCTTCTTCCAGGCCTCGTAGAGCTGCACGTGCACCGGGTACACGCCCGAGTGGTGCGGGGCCACCGCGTAGCCCATGCCCGTGGGGATGCCGTGCTCCTGCAGGGTGGGCACCACAGGGATGGACACGTTAGGGACACACAGAACACCTCCCACGTCGCCATTCAAACGTTGGAATTCATGTGTTCCTGCACGCTGGGGCGCTGGAGAAGCTGCTGTCCCTACACAGAGTTGTACCTACTGTAGCACAAACTGGAATTGCAGTTGGGTGACTGCAGTGAGTGAGGAAGGAGTAATCCTTCTGGATTATGTTCCATTGCTGTTGCATGGAATAGATTTGCCTCCTGTTCCATTACATACTGCACATATTTTGCCTGCTTCTTTTTAAAGGTAATCTAGTGAACCACTGCCGCTTATTTACTAAGCTAGTAAACAGACGGAAAAAAAATGTTGCAGTGACATATATGGGGTTTTGTTTCCTAGTTCTGGCACAGGAGAAAGATTCCTTCCTAGTTTTATAAGTAAATGTTCCTCATATCTTCTGAATCTCCTGATTTTTTCCATGGTGTTAGAGTATAGCAAAAAATAGCTTGGACTACTTTTACATTTTATCAATATTTATATTTAGCTCAATTCCTCTATGGAAATATATGCGTGTTCATCATATAATCTATAGGTTATCTTGCAAATTTCCTCCAAAGACACAAATTCATCTTGCTCCCAGTACTACCAGACACGTCAGCCCTTTTCTACTCCTTTAAAACTGATCTGCAGAGAGAAATGGCTAAAATATGAGATGATTATTTTATGGGGGGTTTTTTTGTCCTTCCTTTTGCCCACATTATCCATTGATTAATTCCAGGAACAGCAGGTTCTGCTGGGCATCCTCAAGTACTTAACAAAGAAAGGGTTTTGATTCATTGGCAAAAATGAGGTTAAATCTGTAGGGAACACTAATTCCTACATTACATAATGCAACCACTTTAAATGACCCACTCCTTATAGTAAAGACCTCCGGTTACAGACCGATCCTGTAAAAGAGAAACCCAAACTCTCTATTTTGTCATTTACTGAGGACATAAAGTAATTTCAGTTTGTTAATGCTGTTACCTACTTGAGAGGCATGAGTCAGTTTAAGGGTGGAATGAGGGATAGCTCTATAATGACAGATGGTAAATCACCCTGTTCTCTATTTAATTTTTTTTTTTTTTTGCCATGGACATGTAAAAAGGAAAAAGCTGTATCAAAAGATTTCTTTGAATCTGGCCATTTATTGCCATGCCTGGGAGGTCTGTGATGCTCAGACTGTGAAACTGTTAACCTGAATATCCTGTCTCAGCTTTCATGGACAAACCTTCACAAAATGTGGGGTAGGGAGCACACAGAAACAGAGATGTGAGGCAAATGTGTCCTGGGGTTGACAATGAACGCTGCTCTGGATGACTTATCCCAAAGTAGGGATCTGGATGGATGTGTGTAAGATCCTGTTTATCTCCTGGCTGTTTGATGCTGGAATTGCCATGGCAACAGAATGCTGAAATGGTGATCTGCCATTCACAAATCAAATCAGGCAGTTTTTCAGGAGTTCTCAACACAAAGCACAAGTTAGTCTCTGAATAAAACCTGCTCACTGCACAGCTCATCACACAAATACATCCGATAGCCAATATGGAGTTAAGAAGAAACAACTATCAAATAATTCTGTTTTCTTTGGGCAGTTCTATTTGCAGTTGACCTGGGAAGATTAAATACAGTGTGTTCCCTTTTAATGATTTTCTGATTTTTTTGTTATTAAACTTATTTTGGGAGTGAAAACTCATGTGTTAAAGGAGGAGTATACTGGTGTGTCAAGATATGAGAAATACTGAGTATTTTTCTTGTGTATTCTAAGGAGCAATTGCCTGATTTTTGCCTTGAAAATGGGTTTTTTGATTTCAAAATTTGCGCTTGTTGGTTTAGTTTGGAATGTAGGTATGATTTGCCGTTGTTAGAGAAAATAAGAATGCTAACTTTTAATTTAATAAATTTGATGTCTACTGTAGGTCTTTGCACACAGTCAGTCAAGGTGCAGGTGTGAAGGCTTTTATTAGATGCAAAAGCTGAGTTCAACCTCAGCTAAGTTTGCACAACCTTTTGGCTTTGTCTGATAGCAGGTGATGCAGCAAATGAGTATTTCAGAACAAAACAAGGTGAGGCAGAATAAATCCGATCCTGCTGCACAGGATGATTTTATCCCATATTCACAGCCCATTTTTAGAGGCAGTGGGCAGCTCTCCTTCCCCACATGAAGTACAGATATTAATAACGGGCCAAATGAGGCTCTTTTCATCGCATGTAGATGCTTTAGCCTTGACTGTGCGGTCCCTGCGCCCTGCCATTGTTGGGATTTAATTGGTGTATTAAAAGCTCCTGCTGTCCTTGTGGTTTGAGCAGCTCAGGAGGTGCAGGCAGAGGAAGTGCTAATGTGCATCTGCAGTTGGCTGTGAGCAGGAGGTGGGAGCCCAGGAGTGCTGCCAGACAGGTCCTCAATTGATTTGTTTGGTTCTACATCTTTGTTTCTCCTTCCTGTCAGCTCCCAGCTGCCTCGTGGGGCCACTGACAGTTTTTGCCCTGTCTCTGCTGTGCTTTGGGCTTTGTACTCGCAAATGAGCACAGGAGATAATCACTGAGCAAACAAACCAGGGATGGAATAAAGAGCGACAGGCTTTGGATTAGATACATTCTACTTGTTTTTGTCAGATAAGGATGTACAAGGGGGGTGGAGGAATATCTTGTTATTGATGGCAGGGAAAGCTTGGTTTGTTTTAGTTTTGGAATATATGCTGTCAGAGATTTCCCCTTGAGTAATTTTTTTGCCTCTCTGTGTATCCATTGCATTGCCTATAAACAAGGAGAAGAGTACATGAGGAATTATCAGTTTGTAAAATTTATTCTGAGATTTTGTTCATTAATGTTTTTAATGGATTTTGGGATTCTCTGATAGAGAAAAAACCCAAACCACAAAACACGATCAACTCAAACCCAACTGATAATCAAAATCATTTTAATTTCCCACTTCCTTAGGTAGGCTCTGGAACACACCATCCATATTTGCACAAATAGGATGACATTGGGATAGCAAAGCTTTGGGTAGCCTGTAACTTTAGCACAGTTAAAACCTCTGCCTCTTGCTGGGGATCTCATGCTTGATGGGGGATTTGGCTGAGAGGACTTTGGGAATGGGGCTGTGCATGGTGCAGCTGTGGGGCCACCACTCTGGTACACTTGGATAAGGATTTTGCCAGGCAAATTTCCCCTGCTGCCTACCAGACCCAGAGCAATGGCACAACGACATTTATTGCAGGATGTGAGCAAGTTTCTTCCTCTCACCACGGAGGCAGTGGAAATGATAAATATCCCAGGGATGCAATTGGGAGGGCTCTGGGTGAGGGCAGCCTCCTGGTTCCATGCAATGTGCGTGGAAGGGAATCCTCGAAGGCAGATGCACAGAGGTGTCCATATCTGCCCTGAGATCAAGGCAATTAGATACCTAATTAGCAATTAGTTCTGTGTGTAAAAAGCTGTTTAGGTACCTGATTTCTATCTGTGTGCTGACAGGGCTATCTGAGGCGGGCTGCAATTGTAAGCTCCATTTTACAGAGCTTTGTTAGGAGGTGTGGATAAAGCCATGTGAAACAGAGCCAAGGCTTTTATCTACCAACCAGAGGAGACAAAAGGTCATAATAAACAGAACTTTTGGGTGTTATTTGGCATCTTCAGCAACCTTGAGTATTGTTCTTGGATATAATGGTGTGCTCTCCCTTCCAGAAAACCTTGTTACCTCCTTAGCCATGTTTAAAAAAAGTGAACAAAGAAATAGCACCTTAGGTGAAGAATTAATGTGCTCACACTTCCAAATAATTACTGCAGCTTTTCTTGCAGAAGCTGACACAAAGTGTCACCTGTATGTGCAGCCAAAACAGGAGGCAGGGAGATATGGTCAATAAATGAGAAATGCATGAGAAAATGGCACCAGCATCAAGCTGTGTTCTCCTGACTATAATAGAGTGGCCAACAGACAAAACACATGCAACATCAAGCAAATTTTCCATGTATTGTTCCAGACGTCTAATTTAAATTTGGATCCACCTTGGACATCAGAGAATAATGGGAAGAGGTTTGCTTTAACTTGGAGGGCTCAGAGAAGTGCAGCTGCCGAACAGGGAATTTGTTTCTCGAGTAAGACATGATGCTGAGGATGAGACAGCCAGGGAGGAATGAAACCACTCTGAAGCCATGGCTGGGACCTCTCTGATAGCTATCAGGGAGGCTGTCATAGAGGGAAGATGAATTTCTCCCACAAGAGAGAATTTCAGAGGAAGCCTTTTGAAAAGAAATGTTCTCATAAGTAAATGGTACAGCTCATATAGATTCAAGGTCAAGGGGTTGATACAACCCCTGTTGAAATGTTAGCAGGAAATAAAAGTGTAATAACAGCAGCTTTTCACTGACATCAGCTCCTTATTTATAGGCACCCTAAGGAGTCTCTACCCTTCAGGACACAGGCTTTATCTTTCTGGAGTGGAAGTTACAAACAGATTCCATTACCAGCTCTGTTTTCAGGCCATGCTATAGATTTTACTCCCAAAGGTTGCTCGACCTGGGTGACTCCACGCTTCCTGAAAATACTAGGATTTCCCCAGAGGTTTAAAGATGAAGGGGTTGTGTATTTTTGAGATATGGATTATTTAAAAAATTACTCTTGCATTTCAAGTCTCAGATCTGTTTGTGTCTCTGGGCCAGGCTGCACCAAAGGCATGAACAGGCTGTGCCAGGAAGGCTGACAGGGAAGCAGGAGTGTAGAAAGGAAAGGAAGCCATCCTGCCAAGCAGGAGATGGGAAGGGAGGCAAGTCTGGCATAACAAGTAAACAGTTAAGCCATTTTTAATTAATTTTCTTTAAAGGTTGGTTGGAAAGTATTTCCATAAACAAGGGAATAAATTGCTTCCAACTGCTTGTTCAGGCATCTGCCTCTGCCTTTTTCCTGATGTGCCTTGGCTCATGTGAGGGTTGGGAGGAAGGGGCTTGGCCTCTGGAAGCTGGGAAGGGTTGGGGAATGCTGTTCCCAAAGCAGCAGAGAAAGCCCCACTGTGTCCCTCAGCTCCTGTGAGCAGCTCTGGTTGCTTGGCATTTCTGTGCCTCACCAAAGACCACACGGTGTCTTTGCAAAGCCAGCATTTATGGATTTCGGGTTCTCTTTGCCATGTGCAGTAAGCCAGCAGAATTATCCTGAAAAGGCTGCAAATAGTACAAGTACTGTGAGGTGTGGGCAAGGGGGAGGGTGGCTCATGGAAGTTCAGAGCACAGATGAGGAAAAGAGAAGCACAATTATCTGTCGATAGCAGCAAGAGGTTAGCTGTATTCAATGACCTGCATTTTCCAAGCCGGTCATTTAAAAAGACACGGTGAAACCCAGAAGCTTCACTTGTCAGCATCAAGATTTGTCCCAAACCACACACCAGGTTTAGAGTTCACTGCAGCTTCCTCCCTGCCTTGCTGAGTGTTTTGCAGCAGATTTGCCAAGCTGATAACCTGAGTACAAAGTGCTGCCTAAAGCTGTTTAGGCCAGCTGCTGTCTGCTGTGTTTGCACGGATTCTGATCCCCATGGTCCTGCCAGGACGCTGGCCCAGGGCTGCTCCCTCTGCACAGAGCCTGTGTCAGTGGGAAAGGCCAAGACAAAATTCAGTTTTAGTCACAAACAGGCTGGGCTTGGGATGAGTGTCTCACTCATGCCTCTGTTTGCATGCCTGAGTAAATTATAGGTATTGCATAGACAAGCATGAAACCCGTGGGGAGGGCATGGCCACGGTAGTGAAGGCATCCCAGTAAATCCCTTGGGAACTCTTCCTCACCATTGCAAACTCTTTGTTGAGGATCATCTGCTCCACCAGTGAGGACTCGTTGTGGAAGAGGTGTGGCTGCATGTGACTCCACATGTGGGGGAACCACCAGAACTCATCCACAGATCTCAGCAGCAGGTCATCACCCTCATCCTCCTCCTCCGTCCCTGCAGAGGGAAGAAAGGAACAAAAAAGTTACTAGAAAGCAAAAAAGGCCCATAATTGCTTTTTAAACACAGAAGAGTCTGCCAAAAACCCTGGGGTCCTTGGCTTGTCTCACTGTGTTCCTATTATGTTTGCAAACTATGGGAATATTAAATATAAATGGTAGGACTTTCTTTTTAACATATAATGATCTTCAAAACCACCCCCTCCCCATTTTCTCTATTTGCTTTATTTTAATGCCACACTATCTTTTTATCCCATAACCTGGCAGATGGATTTAGTATGACAAAACAGTGCCAGGAATATTAATGCTGCTTTCCAGGTCTTTTGAAAGCTGGACAAATGATGATGTTTGGTATTAAAGAAAAGGTATCAATTATTTTCCATTTTGTCCCGATAATAATGTCGCTGTTAAATACCAAGTACTCTCCATAAAGGCAACATATGGATAAAAATGAAATCTTAACAAAGCTTCCCTTCTATCCTCCTTGTAACTACCAGTTTATTAGCCTTGGTTAGTTGAAATCTGATCATTTCTGGTAAAGTGTGAAACAAGTTTTAAAATACAACTAGGTGGAAAGCATGAAGCTGTAATGGCAAAGGCTTCCAAATATTTCTTAGGGTTCAATATTCAATTTTGACCAGATTTAATCTTGAAGGAAACCCAATAAAATCTCCTGTGCTAGTGAAGGGGATCCGCTTCAGGCAGAAGTGAGGATTTGTGGCTGTAACAAAGAAAACCTTCAATTTGAGAGAGGACACAATGCTGCTGCCACCATTTGCAGACACATCTGCCCTGCTTTTCCAGCCTGGAAAGGCACAGTGACATTCCAGTAACCTCACCTTCAAGCCACCCAGCAATATTTGGTTTTTAGCACATTTCCTTTGTGTTCGTTGCAATTGGAATGCTTTCATTTTGTTTCAGTCTAAGAAATAATTGCCAAAACCAGTCTCCTGATGCAAACACAGAAACCCTGTCTTCTTACAGGCCCTTTCATGTTTTGCAAAACTCATTGGAAGCGAAAGCTCCACGGATGTCACTGTTTACTTGGCAGGAACATCCAGAGATCCCTGTTCAGTGCCTGCACTTCAGCTCTTGGCTTTTATTTTCCATTTCTGCCGTGGTTTTTGAAGAATGCCACTACACAAGGAGAGCAGCACTTTGAACCTTTCTCCCAGAGTCACTGAATCCCTTTGCTTCCCTCTTTGCAGCACTCTGCGAGTTCTAAGGAAGCTGCTCCCCTATGATGGGAGTGCTGCAGGAAAAAGAAAACAGCCTTGTTTACTGGAGAATTCCATACTGGAAAGAAAGGCCTGATGGCTGCTCCCTCTGTGCCCTGCATTTTGGGAGGGACTGCTGGCTGGTTTTGGGGTTTGTGATTCACTTGCAGTCACTCAGGGCATGGGCAAGTGAAGAAACTTAACCCAGGCCTTCAAAATGGGGCAGAGCAGGGAGAAAATGGAGTTTGTGAGGCAGCTGTGGGTCTCTTTGATAAGCCCAAGTTAGGGATGGAGAGGAAACAAGTGGGTGTTTGAAATACAAAAAGAACTACAAGAAGAGATTGTAGATTTAGGTCAATTTAGTGCCTTATTAACTTGTGAAGTAGAGTGTGGTTCTTGAAAAAAACCTACTTTTCCCCATTATTTTTTCGTACTTTTAGATATACACCTAATAAAACTTTGCACTTTTACTATAACAAAACCCAACCAAGATGAAGCGTAATCCTTTCTGTTTTAAAGAAGAATAAATAGATGTTCCACCATTTCAGTGTCCAAAGGGGTAAAGACACACTATGGATGAACTGCTCAGGTACACAAGGATGCCCTTGGTGTTTTCCTGAACGATGTGTGGTGGTAAATCTTAGTGTTATAAAGGAGGCAAAGTGGTTGCAGAGATCTCTCTAATTCCTCAGGAGACAGAGTAAGGTTTTTCAGGTGTGATAGGTATGATGAAATATAAAAGATTGGGAAAATGATGTCTCAGAGCCTCTGATTATTTAGAACTGGAATGTTTAAAGGTAGATTTAAAATTCTGTCACCTATTTAACTGCATGAAGTTCCTTCTTACCTGTGTGGTAAAATTTTCCTGAAAATCCAAGGTTGAAGGTAAAATTTGCAACCTGAGTGCGCAGTAAATTTTGAGTCTCTAGTAAAGCCTGAAATAAATAAGAAATTAACATGGATTTAGAAAAATTAATATTATTTTGGGCTCATCTTTTTTTTTATAGGACTATTACAGAGAGCTTAATTTGTTCCATGAGAGTTTGATGGGCTAGAAAAGGTAGTGGGAGTGTCCAAGGAGGTGATGGTTCTGTGCCTTGGCCCAGGACATTTTCCCCTGGGACACTGATCCATAGCAGGACCCAAACCCTGCCACTCAGAGGCAGCAATATACTGGCTCACTTCATTAGTGAGGCTTGATAAAATGTGCTTAAACCCCAAAATAAAATTAGGAGTACTGCTCATCATCTAGGCATGAAGGTGTTGGGATTTGCTTACCTGCAGGACCATTTTGGGCTGTGTCTGAATAGCAAATTCAGGCTTAAGTGTGAATGAGCAAAGCTTCAGGTCTGACCTGTGGTAGAAGCTGTGTCCATGTCATAAATGCATTTTTAATTTAATTGTGTTTATTTATATTCTCTCCTCCAAGCTAAGATAAGCCCACTGGAAATGAAAGGAAGCAAAGGGTGCTGCTTATGGAAGAAATAGTCTTGGCCACTGGTCCAGTTTTTGTTCTGGACGTATTTCCAGCTCCTAGGGAAAGGGAGAAGATGATTAAACCTGTGTGAGCTTTACTTGATGTTTGCTACTGGTTGTTAGCTCTGCCCTGCTCCTGGAGCTGCTCCTTGTGCACGGATCTGCTTTGGGCTCCCAGCCCCTGGAATTTGGGGTGCTGCATGTGAGATGGGAAGTGCATTTCTCTCCCTGTTGGCCTTGCCAATGCTGAATAGGTTATAAACTCTGTTTTCACCCATTTTCTGTGCCTCCATTATGTGGCCCTGGAGAACTTTTCCTATTATCTATTAATAACACTCCTATTGATTGGACCTTCATGTTCTTGCAGGGTTCGAAGATAAAATGATTGCAGTGGTTTACACCCTACCCCAGCCCAGCTAATGTCCTTCATTTGAAAAAAATTACATTCTGTATGGTCATAATTTCCCTTAACTTCATAGGAAAATAGGTTTTTGGTCTAATTTAAGCAAGGACCAGAAACCAGAAGTATCTCCAGTGCAGGATAAACCACAAAAGCAGGGTTTAAGCAGCTGAGGTGTGTGAGTGTAATACAACAGACTTCCAGGCAGGGTGCATCTGCCTTGAGTTTTTAAAATAGAAACTTAGAGTGACGAGGAAGATGTAAAATTGAGATAGTGTTTATCAGCTGCAACAGTCACCAAGCAAATTCCTCTCCTTGCCGAAGGAAATAAAGCAATCTTAAGTCAGTAAATCTTGTGCTTTAGCATTAAATATTAAGGTGGTTGTATGGTTTCCAGCCTATCTTGCCAGACATTTTGTAAGTTGATTATTTCAATCCTGTGACAATCTCACATATGGGACTATATTTACATAATATATAACAAGTAAACGTTCACTAAAATGCAAAACCTCAGAGATGAACACCACTGTTAGCTGAGACATTGAGGAAAATCCCCAGCTGGTAAAAATCCCCACTAAATTGACACCATTAAAGTCAGAAGCGTAGAATCACAGTCGTTATATTTTAGAAGATAATTTTCCAAGCTATCTAGAGCATTTTCGATATGTTGAGAAAGACTGATGGGCTGAGCAAAATCAATTTAATTTTCCTTTGAGGGAAGAACATCTTGAGAAATTATCATCACTTAAGGTGCAGTAGGAGAAGGGGCAGGGAGCAAACAGCATTTCATCACCTGGGCTCCTCTCCTGCTCCCCTCACATCTCAGCAAGGTGACAGAGCTGCAGGACAGGCAGGAGCCTCCCAGCCCAGCCTGGCCTCATTAAAAACACAGAGCGAGGATTAAGATGTGAATCCTGGAACCTGCAGCGTGTCGAGCATTTTCCTCTGTCTAAAGGGCAAATTTGTCACTCAAACTGGCTTTGGCTTGGTCCTAAAGGCTTTTATCTTGCCATTTCAATTTCCATATATGCATATTAATTCATATACTAGGCAGCTCAATTTTGTTGTCATGACCTCCCCTCTATTTAATGCTAAGAAGATATTGTCAGCTAAGGCAGTCCAAACTCATTTTGTCACTGCTTGTCTGTTTGGAGGAAGGGCACTCATGTCTTAATATGGAACAACTTTTTAGGTGATTAGGGTCTGCCTTCCCTATTTTTAATGAAAGAGTGGAGAAGCTGCATATCCCTGGCACCCAGGGCCAGAAACCTTCCTAGGATTTGCCTGGGCTCCATGGGAGGCAGAAGGTATTTATCTGATTTGATGCTGAAGGCTCTGCAGGGTTGGAGAAGGTCTGTTGGATTTGAACGGCTGGAAAGCTGATCCCGTCCCAAGGCCCGGTGCCACACAGCTGTTCCCACTCTGCCTGCTGTCCCTGGCTTCACAGGCATCCCCCCTTCCCTGGGGGCTCAGGATCTCCATCCCACCCCTGTCCCCACTGCCTGCCTGTGGAGTGAAACCAGCACTCCCTGCGGAACCACACGTGGTTGTTTTTGGACGGCTGAACAGATCATGCTTACTGATTATCCCTTTCCAAGGAAAGAGCCATGGAGCACACTGTGCAGGGACAAACAGGCACATCTCTATGCCTGGCTAACCAAAGACAGGGCTTTTCTTAAGGTAAGCCCTTAATTGCCTGGAATCTCTCAAAACTCATGGATTTAACCTTATTAATTGATTCTTTGCTTTGTCAGCGAAGCTTCTCTCTGACACTCACAAGATACAGTTTCTTCATTACATTGCATTCAGTAGCTTTTTACATTAATCCATATAATTACTTTTTCTAGATTTGAAGTTGCTGTGTCTTTATTCTTCGTAATTGGTGCATTTATTAGGAAGAAGTTGATATTTCCCTGCTATGTCCTTGTTAATTCTAACTCTATCCCTCATTTACATAATAAACTTTTTGGGGCGATTTCTGCAGGAACATTTCATGCCTAATAAGAAGCAATTTGCTTTCCTTCATTAAGTACATTAAGACTTCATGCCCCAGACATCATTGACTGTAAACATTTGATTCTGCTCAAATTTAATGCACCAAGGCATTTTGCTCTGCCATATTAGGTTTATTTATGTGCTATGTTCTGGATTGTTAGCTGCTAATGAGACTTTGGCTCTTATTGCTCTAAGGCCTGAACAGTAACCTCATTTTAATGAGTTCATTATTTGCTGCCTTCTGAGTGGAAGACAACAAATTTTCCTTTTAATTAAAGGTCAAAACACCTGTGGCTGAGGGAAGTGTAGAGGTTATCAAATCCTTAGAGAAGGCAAATGAATGACTTGGTGTGATTTTGATGCCAAGCATGGGCTGGCCAGGCTGAGGTAGAAGGTGCCTCTCTGGGGAGCAAAACTCCAAATCTGAGTTAGGCGATAACAATGCTAAAATGCACTCAGAGGTGTCTCAGGGACATGGTATTAATAACAATTTTTTAATGCGTTTATTCATTTTTGTCCCTAACATCTGTCCTCAATGCTTGTGCAGATACATAGCCCTGAGGTTCATTCCCAAGCTGTTCTGTGCAGCAATGTGCTGCCGGTCCGTGCAAAGTTGGAGGGCTACAAAGTTTTACTCTAAATTTCCAGCTGAAATTTTTTGGAAGGAAAAAAGAGAAAGCAAAGGATACTTCCAGCAACGTTTCTCTGCACTGCAGGCAGCTGCTGTCAGGATGTGATTTTTTGATTGCCTCTTCCTGCTCTTGCTCCCTCCCTGAAATCTATGCTAGGATAAAAAAATCTGACTAAACCTGCTGTGGTCTTGGCAATTTTCAAAGCTGGTGGAATTGGAATTGATAGGAATACCACAAAGCAGTTAAAATCATAGTAATGACTGTAAGGAAGGTGTGAAATAACTAGCCACTGCTATTTTCTGACAGGAAAGCTGTCAGTAAAAAAGTGATGTCTAGCCTGACATTACTGATGGGGTCACTGCAAGACCGGGATTTTAAGTTCCTTATTTTCAGCTTTCAGATTGGAGCATAAATTTCTGTCATAAGGGGGACAATCAACTCAGCTGTGTCTGCACTTGTTAAAACTCAACTTGCTGAGGAATTTTTAAGCCCAGGGAAGCTGAGTTGATGATTTCTGTGTGGTGAGGATTTTAGCCAACTTCCCATGCTTATAGCAGATAATACCAGAGTGTAGGAATTAGCAAGAATCCACATTATTGACTTGGTGGCTAGAGTTTGAAAGCAGTTTAGGGGTTGGTGTCAGTAAAATCTTTAATGGGATTTTGAAATCACTTGCTCTGTACCCTATGCCAAACCTGGCTGGAATAGCAGGGCCTGGATCAGAGGGAAGCTGCCAAACCTCACAGAGCTGGGGGCACGCAAATGGTGCCACTCCTGCAAATTCCTGCCAATGGTGCCACTCCCAGTGCTGGCTGCAGGGCACTGGGCACAGCCAGGGCTTGGGCCCTGCCTTCCCTAGGGCTGGGACTGCATTTCCTGGTGCTTTTCTTCCTGTGAAGCAGCCTGCTAATCCATAGTGCCATATAAATAATTAACAGGGAGCTCTCAGCTGGGGCTGAGCACAGCCAGCTCTGGCTGCAGATCTATTTTTCATTGTAGAGCTATTACTTGAGCCTGTTCAGCATTTCCCTGGAGTTGGCTGCCTTGGTGTGAGGTCTGACAGGATAGGTGGGTTTCTTAGAAGCAAGAAACAGGTGATGATTTGCAAATATTTGTGTAGTATGTTTATTGGAAACAGGGGAAAAAAAATCTTTTTATTTCTTGAATGGAATACCCACTTTATCAGATCCATTTCTGTGGCTGTGTTGTAACTCTGTCCTAAAGTCAGAAAACTGTCAGGGGTCTACCTGCATTTAATTGGACCTAGAGGAGTGCATCTGTCCCAGCAGAGGTTCAGCCAGTTTCAGCTGAAGGAGATGAATGGGGGGATCCTGCAGCAAACTGACAACTCGCTGATGACTAAGTGGTGAATAACATCCCTGAGAACTCAGGAGGTGGCTCTGGATTCAGTATTAGAAGAGAGGTGATGCTG